ATTCAGTATGTATTCCAATGCACAGTTTAATAACCAGTTAACTGACTTTGGAGCCAACCGCTGTTATGACGCGTAACGTCTGTTTTGTTCAGCAGCTACGGTTGCCTAAGAACCAGACCAGAGACGAGAAACGGAGGAAAACTGGAGTTATGAAAGAATTTTATGTATACGTGCTTTACACACCAAACAGTTGCTACGATATAAGGTCCATGCTGGTGATGAATACTAGAGAGGGGCTGTGGGGTGGCGTACTGAAGTAACGAAGAAGGTAGCAATTTAAAAAGAATAATTTTCACTTCTTATCTTAAAATTCCCGTTTTTTTTTAATTTTAAAGTATTAAAGAAATGAAAATAAGTGACGTGCAGCAGGGTACTGCAATACGACGCCACAAAGAGTAATGCCGTCAGTAATACTGTCACAAAGGTGAAGTTACTTCAAAATGGAAACAAAACGAGATGTTCCCATTTGCTTGTACGTGGCAACGCTGCCAGACGATTCTGAATGGGCCGGACTAAGTTCAAGGCAAAGCAGACACACACAAAAAGAATATTTCAAAACCTGTCTGCGAAAGAGTGAAAAGGCAGCCCCTGCGAAGCCGTGTTCAGTCACAGTAGGCCATTTAGTGACGCGGGCTCCACCGTTACGTGTCTCTTCCTTTGCGTAAAACAAATCTCAGTTCTTTTCGTACCTGCACTTATTCTCGAACTATATTAGCGTCTCGGTATCAACTTTACTTCTAAGAAGCTTAAAGTGGTTTTAACTTGTAATTATTAACTGTTCTAAACGAAGTGGGTGGAAAAATATAGTTAATATCTGCCCACTTTTAGGTTCTTCTACTGCCACATGCCGATCACAGCGGCCGCGCGGTCTAAGGCATGAATTGTCTTTGCTCGCTCGAACGCCGAGATCGCGGCTTCGAATCCCACTCAAGGCATCGATGTCTGTGTGCGTTTATTCCGTGTTGATGTTGTTCTGTGTGTAGGTAGTGGCCTTGAGACGGGCTGATCAATTCTCCAAGGAGTTATACCGACTGTGTATGGGATTAAGAAACTGAAAAAGTGACCAAGGTCCAACAAAAAGACTGTACAGCCATAGATAATCCAGATTTCCACATTCTTCAAATCTGAAACTATATCATGCACTTGAATGAAATTTTGTGTGCGAAATTTGTACCGGAATCTGTCGGAGAATTTAATTTTAGTTTGTTTTCTGTCTTTCATTTTACGACTATTTTAGTACCTAGACTACACAGCATAGGCAGGATTGGTGAATGATAAAGTAGAAAGGATGTGGAAGAACGCGGCCGTGGCTTACTCTTTATCCTCTTTTACGAAACACAATTTCATTACCATATTCGCAACAGCCCACCACTGGTCTCGGTTCTGAGACAGATGAATCCAGTCCACTTTACAAGCTATTTCCCGAATATCCACTTTAAAACTAGGCCTACATTCACATCTACGCCTAGGTTTCTACAAGTGGTTTCTTCCATGCAGGGATTTCGATTACGATGTCATATGCGTTTTCATATGCTCTGTGCGTGCTACGTGCCCCGCCCATCTCGATCCCTTTATTTATTCATACTAATAAATGCCAGTAGAAAGGAGATATTATGAAGCTCCACACTGTGCCAGTTGTTACTCATAGCCATTAACTTTATTCGAATAATCTGCACGCAATGTGTTTGCTGTAATACAGTGTACTCGTGGTCCTTTGCTGAGGCCGTCTCCTTGCCGTTACATATAGGCTACTGTTATGTACAAAGCTAAACCAGTCGACTGTAGGCTACAATTTATATTATTATTTCAAAGAAATCCGAGGAGTTGTGACTGGTCAAATAATGGACTAGCTAACAAATGAGTCAAGCAACCAACCTGTTGACTTCGTTCCTCGCAGTACGATAACCCAAAGAACCTGCCTTGTTTACCTACTGAGTGACTGACTAACCGACAGACTGACAATATTTTATTTTGTTTGCTTGTTAATATTTGTAATTTTTATTTATTAATACTCGAAAAATAGTAATATCTATTATTATTATTATTATTATTATTATTANAGAGCCGGTCTAGACGACGTGGAGGAGAGAAAATTCTTGACCTTACCGGGACTTGAACTTCGACCCCTCAGTTGTCCAGCCCGTAGCCAGTCGCTGTACTGACTACGCTATCCTGGCTCCACATATTATTTATAATAATTATATTTTTCACAGCATCAGAATTCTTGATTTTTAACGACATTTTGTCGACTAAAAATTGTACAGCAAGTAACAATAAAGTGGTGAAGAGTTGAAAAGCCCCGGAGGAAGTGGCTGTGGGCCATCTAAGATGATATCCTAGCATTTGTCTGAAAAGGCTGAACAAAAGCTAACATCCTCAGAGTAGCCTTTCATATTGCTTAAATTCTAACCAGAATACGAAGCAGGAAAGCTAGCATGTAATAACGTCATTAAAGAAAGCTGAATTCAACATAATGGCCCGTACAGCTCCGTTACGGCCACAGAGTTCAATCTGAATTTCTTGAAAGACCTGAACTGTGTACTCGGCCTGCCGCTTTATTTCGCGAATCCTCCAAACGCGCTATTAAAGAACAAAATGTACTGTTAACTAAGGCAATTGTGCGCTGACGTTTAGGGACTAGAAACTGGATGACTGGCTTTCTCAGAATATGCCGTTATGCAATGTGGGCTGCACGACTGGCAAAGCTGTGAGTTCGACTTTTGAGTTACAGATCTCATAGCCATCCAAACACAGCACCCGTGAAATTATATTATTCAGCCCGACATGAGTCGATCCCACGATCACTATGAATGCCGTACTTTATGCAGTTACGAAATCTGTTAGAGGTGTTACACTACAAAACTAAACTAATTCTAGTTATTTACACATCACATATGCAGTACTTCACAATTAGCGTAAGCCTGATGAACTTCATAATAACATGTTAATGTTAAAGTAACCCACAAAATAGGCCGCGGCGTAGCTCAAGCGGTTAGTCGCTGGCTTCTCACCGCGACGGCCCGGGTTCGATCCCACGGGTCTGGTCAAGTGGGATTTGTGGTGGACGAAGTGGCGCTGGGGAAGGTTTTCTCCGAGTACTTCGGTTTCCCCTGCCAATCTTCACTCCACCAACTACTCCACAGTCACCCTCACCTATCGTCTGGGGCTGGTACAATAGGCCAGAAGTGGCCGCAGTCAAGGGACTTAGTCCCACCCCACTAGCAATAAAGAAAAACACAGAATTCTTATGCGGCATGTATCTTCAGATATGTATATTATACATATTGTCAAGTGTATCAATAACTAAAGACGGGGTTNGCGCAGTCAAGGGACTTAGTCCCACCCCACTGGCAATGAAAAAACACAAAATTCTTATGCGGCATGTATCTTCAGATATGTACGTATATATTATACATATTGTCAAGTGTATCAATAACTAAAGACGGGGTTTGGATTAGTAATAGGATTTATTAACCACCTACAGGTCGTAACTACAAATAATTAGTACACTATTGCTGATTTACATAATTTCCAATCACTCCACAGTAATCTTCTCTGTCTTTTTCCACTAGTCTTCACTATCCGTTTCCTGGCAAAGGATTTATAACACAAGAACTATATATAAATATTGTCACTAAATCACACACTCTCAATATCAATGTAGTGTGCTACACATCACACGTTAAATCTTCACAGGCCGACTTCTTGTACTCTTCTGTACTCCTCAAGCTTACTGCTGGCTTGCTGTACTCCTCAAGTTTGCCGCTATAGTCCGGCCGCCTACTGCTCAGCTTCAAAGTCAAAGTCACATTGCGACTGACGGTCAGTCAGTCTGTCTGTCTTTGTGTCAAGCCCCGTCTGGGGCTCATGACCAGATGTTACTTTTTAAATGAAAGTTACTAAGCTTAGGAATTCTGCTAACTTATATAGATGCTGCACGGACACGGAACTATAGGAAACACATCACGTGATCGCTACTCAGCCAATCCGTTGGTGTTCTGGCTCAAACTACAGAAAACCCTTGTCACGTAATTTCTCACCACTGCTGTGTGACGTCACTGCACATACGCAAGCTGCACAGATACAAAAAAAAAAAAACGCTGCTGCTGCATTTTTGGCCGTGTATGTGATGCATCAGTTGTATGGCAATAGATCCACAGGTCAAAATATACTCGTGTTTATGTTTAATTCTGTAGTCCAAATCCACGAGGCGGCCTGAACTACAAAGTCTAAGCTTCTCCCAAATACAAGTTCGAAGTGTGCGTGCTTGAAACAACTTACTCTGTCGAATCCATGCCGTGGGACTGGTGACAGTCATGGATTTATTCAAGCAAACGTCGATATCATAGGGCCTACTGCCAACAGAACTACATTAATTGATTTTAATATACTAAATCTTAGACAGGGTCAAGATTTTTCTCTTCTCCACAAGGACCACACCGGCTCTAGAGCCCACCGACTCGGGGGTGAAGAGGACGGGGCGTGAAGCAGACCACTGTCCTGCGTCTGGTGCCGAGGGCAAGAATGGTGGAGCTATACCTTACTCTCCCATATGTCTTCATGACATTGTGCCTAATTAATAAATTAATTAATTACGCACAGGGACAACTTTAACTTTACATCTCGTTCCTTATATCGGCTTCTTTATACGAAATTAAACAATTTTGTATACGTTTCATTTTTTTCTACGCTGTTGTCTGTCGTAGTTCAAAAGAAACGCAGTGAACAGTAAAGGCAGCGAAGGTCTTCATTATAGTTTTCTCCTTTCCTTTTCTGAGGTCAAATATATTCCACGATATCTTATTAACATATTCCTTTAATCTCTATTCATCCTGCTGAGAAAAAGAAAAAGACCAACTCTGGCAGTAATACAAAACTGTGGTTGGAACTAACCGCATATGTTCTCAGCCTTGACTTTTTTACAACCAAGAAAATATATTTACGTTAAATTTAGGTGAAAGGTTTTATGAGACTGGACTGACTTCACAAAATGATTGCAGGTCCTGAGATGGAGTCGTGGCTACTAGACGTGAAGAGGGTCCGCATTCCGCGTCCCAAGTTTGCATCGGCTCGCCACGGAGGCGGTGGCTACCCCACAGAACCGCCCAAGGATTACAGCGTTGGGAGCATGGATGACTCACGGGACGATAAGAGCAAAAGGGGGGACTACACGTCCCGGGAACTCACGAAGGCGACTGAGGAACTGAGGCGTGCCGTCCAGGAGAAGCTCTAGCAAATGGAAGCATCCCCGCGGAGCCTGTAGCCAATGGCTGCCTTTCCCGCAAACATTCTAGCCAACGGCTATCTTTGCCGCGGAAATAACGTCAAGTTCTAGCAAACAGCTGTCCTTGCCGTGAAGATTGTGCCAGTTTCCATCCAACGGCCGTTTTCCTTATGCAAATGCATATGTGGTTCTATAGAATTCTGCATTTTTCGCGGATGAAAAAAGTGCGACCGCCCTTTCCAGTGAGAATCGTTCTCAATGTCAGAAGTGCGAGTCTCTATCCAGTGACTACATTTCCTGTACGGGATTCTAGCCAGTGGCTGCACTTCTCCATGTATCCGCATAAGCGGTGACTTCCCAATAGCGCCAGTGCAAAATCATATCCAATAAATCAGTAAAGACAGTACTACGGTACAATATAAACATTTCTTCAAGAGGTGAATATTCTGCCATGGCATTCAGGTATCGATCCTAGGATATCTGGAGCTGCTCCACGAATGCAATAAAGCACGGTGTTACACGCAGTACACCACCAAGTCTAAAAGTTAATTATCACACATCTTGTAAGATCTGAGGTTTTCACGGTGGTGACTATGAAGAAGGCAGTCTTCTGGGATGTGGCACCGTGTAGATGTGGTGTTAACAGACGTTTCGGAGGAACGTATCGCTTCCATCTTCAGGGTAGAAGAGAACGTGAGAACCGGTACAAGCAGTCTGCTTGCGGATTTTCTTATTTTTCCTTCTACCCTGAAGATGGAGGCGATACGTTCCTTCGAAACGTAGGTTAACACCACATCTACACGGTGCCACATCCCAGAAGACTGCTTTCTTCATCACACATCTTGATCAGAAATATGAAATCTGAGTTTAACTTCCTGATTAACAGTTAATGCTGTTAGCTCTATGTGGCAATTCTCTCCCTTAATTACCATTCGTTTTTAGGTGCTGTTTCTTATGAAAAATTTTATGATTCCTCATTTTTAAATCACAGTTCTCGTTTCGGATTAAATGTAATTTGTGGTCATAAATGTAAACTTCATATTCATGGGATGATTATACTTTAGAAATACATATCTCTGTTGTTGCCCGAAGTTCAGGTCGTGAGTACAGTCCCATTTTGTTTTAAAATCTGAAGGGACAGGTTGTCGGTGTGTAAGCAGAGCCGCTAGATTTAATTGGCAATAATGTTTTGCGCCTTATGTATGCAGAGAGGCACAAAACAATCTACAAACAATTCAACTTACAAAATATCTGCTTGAATATTTTATTGGTATATCTTCAGTACAGCTTTGGAAATGTCTGTAGATAACATCTACAACACAATTTAACAAAGGTTACCCATTTATTTTTAAAATTCAATCGAAGATATCCCAATAAATTATTTAAGCAGATATTCTGTACACCGAAGTGTGTATACATTTTGGGGGGTCGCTCTGTCTTCCTATGCACTGAATATGTATTGTATTTTATGAGCCGGGATAGCGCAGTCGGTATAGCGACTGGCTACTGGCTGGACGACCGAGATCGGAGTTCGAGTCCCGGTGCGGTCAAGAATTTTCTTTTCCCCAAGTCATCCAGACTGGCTCTGGGATCCACCCAACCTCCTATCCAAGGGTACCGGGGGCTCCTTCCCCGGGGTTAAAGCGGCAGGGGTGTGAAGCTGACAGCTCACCTATAACTATTGCCGAGTTCAATAAAATGTGGATCTATACATCTATACGCCTTCATGGCGTAGTGCTTAATTAGTTAAGTACGGGGACAACTTTAACTTTTTTACCTTTACGATTACATGAAATCATTGTGCACCAAGCTTATGGGCAGCTTGCAGTACAATATTACATCAGTCAGTGAATACTGGCATGTTGTGTGTTCAGTTCTAAAAGTGTTTCTTAGCAAACGAGGAAGAGGCTTCATTATGACGTCATACAGTCAAGTAGGTAGGAACTAACGTTTCGGAGAAATATACTTTCTATAGTACATTTCCACTTCTTTGCTGGAGGCAGTCTCTTCCTCCGAAATATCTACTAGAGAATAAATGCAAATATTCCAGGGCTGTCCTTCTGTACAGGGCATACAAGTGTTGTTTTCTGCCATATCTTCGAATTATGATTATAATACAATATTTTCAGTGTCGAAAGCAAATCTTAGGAACAGTTACTCAAGCTAAGAAGCCATGATAGCTTAGTCGGCAAGGTAACCGGCTACACACTTGATTGCCTGCTTTCATTCCTGGCAGAAGGGCTGGCATTTTCATTTGACGCTTTTGTTTCGCCCCTGCACTGAAATGCATCATGTCGTGTACATGTATGAATACACTTATAACTATAACAGATTTTCTGCTATATATGTCAATTTGACTAGAATTATATAGAACTTGTTGCAAAATAATCTTCGCAGGGAAGTTTCTACCGAAAAGAACAGTTGTAACAAGCTCCAAGCAGGAAACAATAGAAATGACGCCAGCTTAACTGCTTCGAGCAGCCTGTGTAGCAGGCTTTGTTGAATTATATTAAATGTTCAGCTGATACGAGAATTACTGCTTTATTGTGTTTACAAAGGAGTTGTTTGTCTTGTAGAGCCGAATTGCCCCTTAGGTATATTCACCACAGCTCTCTCTCTCTCTCTCTTTATCTTCTGGGAGAAACAACATTTTTCTTTAGCTTTGTAGCTGAAGTTTAGTTTACTCATTTCAGTAAATGTCGACAGGGCTGACCAAACTTCGTCTCGAATCTCAAGAGGAGGCAAGAACTAATAAGGAATTATATACAATTCGAACAATACACCAAACTCATCAGTCATCATGGTCTGGTATAGTAGGCTCATTTGAGGTCCCAGTATCAAGGAACTAATTCTCATCCCCGCATCTGTTACTAACATTTGTATATAAGAATCAGTTTTATACCGGCGTGTGTGTATATATAGCGTCTATTTCTTGCAGGACTGGGGTAAAACAAGTCCTTTGGTGTTGCGGCTTCAGATGGATCTATTGTTGACGGATAAGTTTGTAATATTGAAAATGTAATTGGCAGAGGGGTCACGGCAGCCGAGCGGTCTAAGGCATGTACTCTCTTCACTGCTTGGAAACTGGGATCGTGGGTTCGAATCCCACTCAGGGCATGGATGTTTATTTTGTGTCTGCGTTTTTCTGTGTTTGTGTACAGGTAGAGGCCTTGCGACGAGCTGATCACCCGCCCAAGGAGTCCTACCGAATGTGTAAGATCTAGAAAAACCGTAGTGAACGAAGAAGTTCATGGAGGTAGGCCTCCAGGTATATCTCCCGTGCTGTCATACTACAAACTGAACAAACTTTCTTCTTAAACGGGGCTTACATGTTTATATTTTTTCCGATCACGAAATTAACCAAGTTTGATTGAAGTACTTTATATGATACTGGGTGTATTTGGATCAAATTCGACGAAATTACACAGCCCATCGAAACCTGTTGTTATTCTGTGGGAACTTAATAAGAGTTTACAGACGTGGCAAATTGTAAGAAATTTACGATAAGAAAGTATTCGTTCAGTGTTCGCTGACTAATGTTTTTCTCTCACAGTATGTTTGGCGGTTTGGGTTACACCTCAGAAAAAAAAACAGTTGCTGTCTAAACAAACGTAACCAACTGATCTATGCTACTGACGTACGGCCATTTTTACTGGAGACATAAATATAATTCTTAAACAGGATTTAGATTAATTGCAGTCCTTAACACAGTATGAAGAATTAGAATATTGGAACAGCTAAAGTCAATAGAATCAAAGTAAAGAAATAACTATTATTATTTATTGCTATTGGGGTGGGACTGAGTCCCTTGTACTGCGGCCACTTCTGGCCTATTGTCCCAGCCCCAGATGATAGGTGAGGGTGATTGTGGAGCAATTGGTGAAATGAAGATCGGCAGGGGAAACCGAAATACTCGGATAAAACCTGTCCGAGCCCCACTTTGTCCACCACAAATCCCACTTGACCAGACCCGGGATCGAACACGGGCCGCCGCGGTGGGAAGCCAGCGACTATCCGCTTGAGCTATAGCGCGGCCCTAAACAAATAACTAACTTTATTCTGTACACTGAAAACCCAACTATCAAGTATGCTCAGGCCTGGGACAACGGCCCAGATAAGTCATGACTTGACTGACTTCTCAGCTTTGGGTTTTAAATAACTGAAGACCCTTCTATTGACTTTGTCATTGTAGGGCCGAAGAATCAAATTGATATTCAGACTGCACAGCTATACCTACATAACGAGGCCAATGTGACTGCTTCCGTCTCAAACAAACTCAAACATGCTCGCTATGAACAGCATATATAGAATGTAAGGGAAAACCCGAAATCCGGCACCAGTGCAACATTGTCATCCTTCCCCCACTCGTTTGTGTTTCTCCAGCTGCCAGTGAAAGTGTAAATAACAGAAATTGTGATAACAATAGCAACAGAAGTAAGAGCTCCTGACATTGTGAGGATTCAGAGGAAGTTACTGAAGGAGTATAATCATATGGACAGTGGGAGAATTCCATTATTTGAATTGTGAGAAACAGTATGAACAAATATTGATTCCAACTTGCCATTATTTCTGGTTAAATACAGAATTTCTTTTGTTTGCCCAGATACATGTCAAATAATAATGAAACAACTATTCCTGAGCTTTTACTAACTGAAACGTGGTAACGTGGTTATCTTGATATCTATGGCAAAGTATACATGTTGTCGCTTGGACACCACTACTTCCATATATATATATATATATATATAGTATACAGAGTGTCCCAGGAGTTTGGTGCCATACTTCAGGAGCGTACTGAGGGTTCCCTATAGAACAACTTTGAAACAGGAACCCATATCCGCAAAAGGAAAATAGCAGCGCTAGGGCAGCATTTAATATCATTCTGTTTAAACTTGGCGCCTCAATTTAACACTCACCTGCTAGAGTAGATGTTGGAATTGGCGCCCTCCATTTTCCATGCTGCGTTACATCGACGAAAGAAACTTTGGCGCACCCTTTCAAATATTCCAGGTGTCTCACGGATCACGTCACATGCAACAAGTATTCTGGCCAACAGCTCGAATTCATTATCCATCAGCGTGTCGTAGATCAGGCTTTTCACATGGCCCCACACGAAATAGTCCAGAGGTGTCAAGTCTGGGGATCGGGGTGGCCAAGGCACTGGGCCTCTTCTTCCTATCCAACGAGCATGAAAAGCAGCATCCAGGTAGTCTCGTGATACAATGCTGAAGTGTGCCGGCGCTCCGTCATGCTGTATCCACATTTGCATCCGCACAATCTTCTAGCTAAGTCAGAAGGATACGTTCCAGGAACACCTTGTAAAAGGGCCCAATGAGTCGCGTTGGTAGGAGGAAAGGCCCAATTAATTGATCACAAATGATGCCCCCCCCCCAGACATTGACAGAAATTTGCGCCTGGTGGTAACCAACTACAGTAACGTTGGGGTTTTCGTCAGCCCAAACGTGGCTATTTCGACAGTTGAGCCAGCCATCTCTTGTAAACTGCGCTTCGTCTGTGAAGAACACGT